TGAGAACCTTATTTATTCATCTTACACTACTCTTTTTAGAGTTTGGGAGCAAGTGCAGGTGAATTCTCAGTCTCCTTTGAATTTTACTCCAGCGATCTCTTACTGGATTTATACTGCAAAGCAGACTCTGAGGGCAATGCTGATTTTCCTTCGCTATTTTTCACCTTATTGTCATTGTTATGATTGCTCATTTTGCTTCATTTGTTTGGAATTGGAAGCAGTTTGGAAAGGATGCATCCATCCCCTCCACTGCAGATTAGAACCAACAGAAGAGATGAAAGAATGTCTAAGAATTGCCATCTTCCTAAAAGGACGCCTGGCAATTCCACCAGAAATTCTATTTTCATATAGAGACTCAAGTTTTCTTTTTATGCACAAATGCAAATATACATCTTTATACGTACGTATTAATATACGCTTATGTATTAATATACACATGTATGTACACACATTCACACACATGCACACACAACTGAGGTTACTTTAAATTAGAGAAAAATACGCAAGAATACTGTAAAACCGATTTAAGGTGGAGTACATTCATTCAGTGTATGATTGTCATTTCAAGGTCAAACTGTAGTCCTAGTTTTTCCATGCATCCTGCTTGCCTAGCCTACTATGATCCCTCTTAACTTCTGAAATTGTTGTTCTACCTCTTAGCAATGTTTATATGTTACGCTTCATGGTCTTTACTCTCCCTTAATTGCTAAATTCTTTTCTCTGTTTTATGTGTAGTGCATCAGTCTTGTCTTCCAAAATGATTTGTAGTCTTCTTTGGTGGTGGGGGTGTGGAAGAGAGAGGAGCTTAGCTTACTTTTCTTGTGTCTTTTTACCCCCTCAAAGTCCAGCACTGTCTTTTGTAGAAAAAGGAAATACTATAAAAAAGAACTGGATAGTGATTCATTTTCCTTCTCAGCTTTCTTGAGATTGTTCAGTAGGACATTTAGGATGGAGAACCTGAGACTTCTCATATTGGAATAATCAACATCCAAGTTCAATAGTATATGCATCATTTTCTTGAGTACTTTGATTTATGGGGAACTCAGCACTGTCATAGTAATCCATTCTAAACAACTGTGTTTGAAATACATATGTCATCTAAATCAAACCAAAATCAGTCCTTTTACAATGACCACCTGCAAGACCTAGTTCCTATTTATATCCACTGGACAAAAATGAAAAAAAAATGCATCAAATATTTTTATTTTTCCAAGTTTGCTTGCCCCAGTTCACCATCCTGACTATTACTTTCTGAACCTCTTATTTTTCCCTCTTGTCTTAATTTATCCTCTTATCTTGTGGTATCTGGAACTACAACTAACACACACATAGTCTCATAAATTCAAAGAATTGCAAGACTCTCTCTAAAGAGTTTTATTTGCATTCATATAATATTACAGTTAGGTTATTGATTCTATTGAAAGTCATGAATATCCAATACTCATTTTTATGTTTGCTCTTATTAGGGTCTCTCTCCCCAGTTTTGAATGTGAATGTGTGTGTGAGTAAATATGATTTGATTCTAAAGTAACTTGAGTTCCTCCTACTCAATTCTCTGTATTAGTTGATGGGAGAAGATACTTGGAGGGGAAATGTATTGTTATATAGGAGGAAAGAAAGCCATCAAGGTTCTCTGGTAGAAATAAAAGGAATATATTAAGTAAAATAATACAAGTCACACGGATCTTGTGAAAGGAAAGAAATGAAACCAGAAGAGAAAACAGGCAGACCGGGGTGATGGTTTCTATTCTTTTGACTGCAGAAGTCAGGAAAGCCAAGAAGGTGGTAGGAATTCAGCTACCTAAAGTTGAAGTCTCAGTGAAGGCTGAAATAGCATGTTCTTTGCTCTTTGTAGGATGGCATCATTTATAATTTTCTTCATAGTATCTTAAGGAAATCTCTGACTGTCTGGTACTCTAAGAATAGACCATTCAAGGGCTTTTTTAAGGACATACTCAGAAATTGGGAAATCAAAATCGTATTACTAGAATCGTTGCCTTGCAATTGTATACAACACCCTTACAACAAACCAGACAAGCAGATCTGGGTGTGAGTCCTCCCTCTCCTGCTTACTAGCTGTTTGATCTGTACTATTGCTCGACTTCTCTGAACTTCCGTTTCTTCATGCAGAAAATGTAGGTGTCAACGCT